CTTTGCAAGTAACTTTTATTTACAACTGAATTGGTGGCTTTGTTCCTCAATTTTTAGGGACACTTGGAATCAGCAGCCAGAGGGAAAATCTGCAGTGAAATCAAACTCATTCTGCCCCAGCCACAGCTCGGGAAGCTCATTGGCTCGGTCTAGCCCCAGCTCTACCACCAGAGACATCAGCACTTCCTCATCCACTGGGTCAGAATCAATGATAGTAGGGCTCTGGGAACCAGAAGGAGGAGTGGCTGATGCTCCCCCTTCCGCCCCTTCCACCCCTTCCACGCCTTCCACCCCTTCCACCCCGAAGCCCCAGTTTTGCAGGGGCCCTGCCTCCCCTGGTTGGTCTGGAGTGGCAGCAGCAGCTGCTGCCGCAGCAGCGGCCTCATGATACTGGCTATTAAGCTTCTGCAGCTGCATACTGGCCAGCAGATGAGGGGCAGGGAGCAGGTTGAAGGATGGGGGCTTGGTAGAAGGGCTGGCAGTAGGAGAGCCTCCTGGAGATGCTGATCCAGAGGAGCTCGCAGGAGCTCCATTGGCTTTGGCTCCATTTGAGTTGACCGCAGGGTAGTGCAGGATGGCCACTGCTTTGTGATCCTTCACCCCGAGGTTGGAGTAGTCCAGAGAGTTCATCTCCTGGTCGCCATCCTAGAAGACAGAAAGGTACACCATAGTAGCCCTCCTCCTGGCTTTCTTTTTGGCATTCACTGGATCTGGACTGCTCCTGCATGCCCTGCATTTACTGCTAATAGTGGGCAGGTGACAGTGAGCTTTCTTTGGCTACTATGGTTCTGATTCCTAAGTTATCCAAAGTGGGCCTCCCTCCCCTGCTACTCAATGTGGCCCCCATCTAAAAAGGGCACCCCTTTGTCCCTCTCCTCAGCCCCACTATAATCTCTTTGCTACAGTGGTCTTGTTTCAATTCTGCTTCTTTGCTCCCCTCCTGCTGTCTGTCCTTCAATACCCCTAGTGAGTTCAATTCAATTGCTTTTAGACAAAAGCTACTCTCATTTTTTCCGACAAAGCCCTGCTGTATCTTCTCTGGTCAATCACACTGGCTACATGAACACCTAGGAAGGCTAGGAGCATGTCCCCCTCCCCTAAAGTCCATCTTTCCATGCCGCAGTATCTCCATCGGTAAAGTGGCAAAACTTACCTCCTTCACAGAGTTGGCACCACCATTGACATCAAGTGCAGGCCTTGACATAGTTGGCATTTCAGAGTTTGGGCAGAAGTAAGATAAATCGGTGGGAGTTGAGGCCTCCAGCTGGAGCTGTTCGTCTGTAAGTAAAAGAGAAAAAATGAATAAAGGTGAAATCTTGACAAAGGAAGCACTAGAAAATTCCAAGTCAGGATCCATTCAGCTACGCAAGGACGATGAACAGGTTAAACTAAACAAAAACAAACAAACAAACAAAAAACAACCATCCAAACCAAACCAAACCAAACCAAAAACAAAACAAAACAAAAAAAACAGAGAGGAACTGGGCAGGGAGCAGAGACTGAGGTGAACTCTGACCCGAGGCCAGGAATAGGCTCTATTCAGCCAGGCTCTAACAACGACCCCCAATGCCGAGAGAGAACACATGAACATTTACTCATACAGGTTATTACAGAGTCCAAAGCTAGGGGTGGCGCTGTTCCTGATTCCCAGAGCAGGCATGTCCCTGAGAAAGCAGCGACCACGTCAATGGATCACTAGCGCCAGGTCTAGGTCTCCGATGGGACTGGGGGAAAGTGAGAATTCGGGAGAAGGATGCCCTAGCGTCTCCAAAGCCCTGTCTTGGGGTATGCCTACAAGAAGACAGCAGACCAGGGTGTTTTGGAGGCTCCGAGGCAGCAGGAGCCACAGAAGAGCTGGAAGTAGCTCAGTTCCTCCATGTCTCAAGCACCTACGAGACAGTCCCTAGATTGGGCTTTCCTAGGACAACTGTCCCAGAGCCCATAGCCAGGCCACACCCATGTGGGAACGAGAGAAGAAAGGATTCTTCCTGGAGGGAAAATCCGATGGTTTTCAGCCTGGAAGCAGCGGCAGCAGTTTGTAAAGCAGCATCTTGCAGTCCTTTGCCACATAGCTCTCCTGACCACAGGTCAAGTCCTCATACCCGAAATACTCAGATGGCTTCTAAAGAAATGATTCTCTTGCCCATGTGCCAAAGAGATAAGAGAATAAAGGAAAAAAAAAAAAAACAACCAACCAAACAAACAAACAAAAAACCACTTCGAACTCAGAAAATTAAAATTTCTTATTTTTCTGGAAGCATATGTTTAAAACCCTCATATATTCTAGCATTGTCATCTTAAGGAACCCAAGAGTCATTTCCCCAAAGAGACTAGAATTTTGCTGAGACTCTACCCTCCTTGTTACCCCCAGTGGTTGTTAAGAATGCGTTGGCTTCTAAAGGTACCACTATCCTTTTTCCCCTTCAGCAACCGCCTACTGGGAGAAAGGAAGGCAGGGGGAAAAAAGGAGAAAACATGGAAGGGGCACTTGCTGGGTCCCGCACCACTACTTGACTGAAGTACAAATAGAGCTGAGGCAAGCCATCTATATTTCAGCCATCTATCTCAAGACAAGGGCGCTAAGCGTCTCGTCGTCAGGAGAGCCAGCACCACTATAGCAAGTTCCTTATCGCTTCACCTTCGTCTCCATCTTCTCCCTCCCGTATGCCACCAGTACCCAAATGTCCAAAGGAAAAAAAAAAGCCCCCCCTCCCCAAGAGCAACACTAACAGGGGTTAGAAAATATGAGGAAAGTGCGTGTGTTCTGGTGTCGTCTCTCAGGGCAGGCCCTTGTAACATTCCCCTCGAGGCGCGCCAGCCCGCTCGGAAAGCGCGGAGCCCATCTCTGGGGTGATCTTATTTCCTGCCCCCCCCGCGACCCCATTTTCTATCCCCTACCCGATCCGTCGGCCATTGGAGGGGAACAACTTGCTTCACGAATGTCTGGACGAGCCACGAAGTGACCATTGCGAAGCCGCTGGGAGCCGCCGCGAAAAAGCCGCGCAACAAGTGCCGGCTCCGCGGCTTGCGCCTCCCGCTACCCAGCCCTGCCTGGCCGCCCCCCGCATCGGTCCTCGCCAGCGCCCGAAAGGGGGTATGAGAAGCGGGGATAAAGAAAAGGGAGAGGCAGGTGAGGGGTCATGAACCTGTCCAGGGAGCAAAAGTTAAAAAATGGCACCAACCGGTAATCTCCATCTCCATCTCCATTGCTACTGAGAAATCTAAAAAAAAAAAATCCAAACAGCACTGCGGCTTGGCTTGCACGCCTCCAAGCAGCCCGTTGTTTACCGACAGCTCCCCAGGCCTCCTCGATGCGCCCGGTGAGGGCCACCAGCGCGGGGCTTGGCGGACGCAGCTCTGTCCGCCAGGAGCAAGCAGCGATGCCTGAGGGCTCCAAGCTTCCGTTACCTCAGGTGCTCTGAAGCAGACAGACGTTGAGACACGGGGTCTCCGCGTCAGCGCGACTTTGGGGACCCGCAGCGTCTCCGCGCGCGGGGGCGCACTTTGGCGCCAGCGGCTCGCGCGCCTCACCAACACTTCCGAGCGTCCTCAGAGTGTCCGAAGCTGCCTGTGCTCCTGGCTGCTTAGCGAACGTTCGAGGTGCCCAGAGGTGCGAGAACTTACCCAAGGTCACAGGGCCAAAAAGTGGCACGGACCCGACAAGCTGTCCTACCCCAGCTCAAGCGTCCCGCGGAGGTAGGGGCTGGGCGCCACCGCTTCCCCTTGAGAGGGGTGTGTGCGCGGGAGCAGGGAGCGGGGTGGGCTGCGTGTGTGTGTGTGTGGGGGGGGGTGGGGAGCAAAAAAATAGCAAGTTGCGCCAAAGATCCAACTTGCAGCCGTCAGCTCGGCGACACTCGGCCCGCAGCCCCTCTGTCTCCAGCCCCCCAAGGAAACAAGAGCTTTGTGCGGCTCCCGAGCGGCCTGATGCAGTCCCGGCTATTGGTGAAGTCGGGGAAGCAGAGCCGGAGAAAGCGCGGGTGCGGGAGGGGAGCTGCTGCGGTTTCCTCTGGACAAGTGGGCGCCCAGTCCCGTCGCCTGCCGTCCCCCCCCTCCCGGCCCGGGCACCTCCTGCAGCAAACAAGTCCCCCAGCCCCTCGGGCGGGCCGCTCCGCCACCGGCCGTGTCCTCGTCTCCCGCTGTCCCAGCCCAGCGCCCTGCCCGGCGGCCGGGCTTACCTCCGCGAAGCCGCCAGCCCGGGAGAGAGGGAAGCTCGCAGGGGCTGGGACGTGGACGAAGCGGCCGAGCCCCCAGCCCCTTGGCACTTATGCCGCCGCCGCGAGCCGCTCGCTGCCTTCGGATTCCCCCGGCCAGGCGTACGGGCGGCCACCCGACCCCAAGGCGCCTGGGAAAAGGCTGCAACAGCCGCGCCGCGCCGCCGCACCGCACCGTGCAGCGCCTAGCAGCCCCGGCCCGCGATCGTGCCCGCCCGCAGCTTCGGCACCGGACTCCGGGGCGGTGGCGTTAGCAAGCCACCGCGCTTGGTTCTTGGCGAGGGGACCCGGGCTCTCAAGCCCCCATTGCCGCCCGGAGAGCCCTGGTGTAAAGGCACACGGTAGCAGGCTGGCTTCTGCTAGGGATCCCAGGAAGGACAGACCCCTTTCCCCCCTTTTTTCCCACCCCCCCCCCCAATTTTCACGTCTTTATAACCGGCTTAGGGCATTATTAGCACATGTCCTGGCTCGTGGACGAGTTGCTGGCAAAATCTGAACTGGATACTTACGGAGGGCCCGAGAGGGTGCAGCGCCTTCCTCGAGTCTGGTCCTCCTTGCTGGGAGCAGCCCCGCGCCGATAGGCTGTGGGCGGAGCAGCCGGGCGGAGCAAGCCTCCTCACCGCAGCTCAGCAGCGCACTTCTGCAGCTGTGCCGCTGGGAACATTTTATAGCGGCGGCTGGCGTGTGTGGCCCTTTAAAGGCGCTCGAGCTGGTGCAGTCACCGTGGATCTTGTGAAAGCAGAGGGCGGGCTAGGGAACAGAGTCCGTGCGTCCCCTCCGGCCCCTCAGCCCTGGGGGCAAGACACAGTCACCTGGGTGGGGCTGCTGGTTCCAGATTATGGTCACTTCTCTCCCAGTGCTCTGGCCCGTACCTGTGTTTCTAAAACTGGTGGCATCCCGAACCCAGGACGTGGGCTCTCCCCACCACCCTGCATGGACTTGCCCAATAAATTCCACTTAGTAATTTCACCGAGGCGAGGGAGAGCTGTTAGTGTCTGTTTTCTGACCTAAATCAAGCGTGTGGCCAGTACGGGCTTCAATGGATAGAGAGGAGAGCTGTTGGCTTAGAGAAAGACCCACAGGAGGGACTTGCACACGGGACGGGGTAGGCAAGGCACGGTCTTAGTTTCCTGCAGGGCTTTCTGTGAGTCGGTTTGCCCTCTTCGGGCTACATCGCCTCGCCTCGTAGTAGTGGAAGGGCTGAGGTTGGAGGGGGCTTTTCCCCCAACACTCCCTACATTTTGTTCAGGGCTACTTAGAGGGATCATATGGCAGCCTCCGTGGCTTCCTTCAAGGCCCAGGGTCAAGGCTTTCTGTCCTGTTCCTGTGGTCATCCAGGGCAGAAAGAGGCAGGATGCGACGACGCTGAGAAATGCTGTTCTACGGGACGGGACCGTGGGGCTAGGTGCACGCATGCAGTTCACATGGTTCACGGAAAAGCCAAGAACAGGCAGCGGGTTCGAAAAGCTTGCCACAGAGTTCGCAGAGATTCCTCTTGCCTTCCCACGATGCCAGGTTATTTTATTTTGATTATATAATTATTCACATCTAGCAAGAACAACATTTTGCACTTGGAGCACATCTCTCTTGTGTTGGTACGTTTTCTTACAAATCCTTACTAAAAGAGATCTGGGGCTTCCCATTTCAAGGCATGTTCCCAGCGGCTGGAAACTCCCACCGCACCCCTTGCAGGAAGGCCACCAAGATTACCCCCTGTAATCAAGCCCCCACCCCCTCCCACCCTCTTCTTTCAACAACTCAGTTTTTACGCCGTTTGTAAAACATGGCCTTTTGAAAAAGTACGATGTTTAGGAAACGAGGGAGGAATGTTACAAAGGCCTTTTCACTGTGTGTGCCTTGCGTCATAACTGGCTTTAAAGACCTGAAGATCTTTTTTCTTCTTCTTCTTTTAGGATCGCAAGTGCCCTGAATTTGCGCTTCTAACAGAGTCAGACCTGTTTGTTGATGAAATGACCGGCTTGCTGACAAAGAGGGGCATCAATGGAGAGACAGATCTAGGCCCTTCTTTGGCATTTCGAAGAAGCTAGGGTGAGTACCCTGGATGGATAACTAGGGAAACCCATTTTACCCCCGTTGGGCTAGAAAGCAGCCTTTCTTGCGCTGCTCATTGCTGCCCCCGCAGCCACTCTGCTGCAAGTCCAACCCGGGTAACAAGCACACTCCACACGCCATTGCTACACTTTCTCACTTGGCTCGAAGACTCTGATTCTTTCCTGCAGAGAAGAGGCGCAGTCTGTGGGAGCCTAAAGTTCTACTGGGGTAGCAGGAGAGGTACACCTCCAAAGTCTCTCCGTATTTGCCTGGGGTGAGAAAAGTTTCTGTGAAGGCAAGGGTGGAGAAGGAGCGGATTTAGGCTTGGCGTTTGAATCACGGTTGCTAATTTGGACCCCTGACCTGCCCCCTCCACCTCTGTTTGGACTCGGCTGGTTGTAAACTACAGGACACAGCTGGGCTGCAGGCTCCCGTTCCCAGACCCGTGGATCCGCCCTCCATCTATTGGATGGCTCCCAGGCCAATTGTTAGAAAGAGGCATATGTTCATCTCAGCTTCTGGAGTGTCTCCGGAGCAGTTGCTCAACAGCTAGCCCCCTCCCCCATCCGGACCATTGAAGGCCAGAAAAAGGAGCGCCCTCCACCACACTTCTATATGCCCAAGTTCCAGAAAGACCCCCACCCCACGGGTGACTTCCTGTCATCTCCACTGCCCACCTCCCAGGGAGTAGGAATGAGAGGGGCTATAAGCACTCAGCTTTGAAGCAGAAAAGTCACCCATTTCCTTTTGGGGGAATGGGAGTTGAGGTTAGTGGCAGAGACTGAGTGGGGGCGAAGAAGACATTTGCATTTCTAGGCAAATATGCCTTAGATCACTGACTTCCCAGCCGACTCCAGGGTTAGCTCAGAGCTCCGCTAAACTCTTTTCTCCAACTTAGCAAGTAGACCACAAGTTTGTGAAGCCAAGAGAGAAGTGATGCTCACCCAGCAATAATCTTCTAAATGTCCGTCATGAGCCGGACAACGAGCATCCTCTCTCTCGCATCATCTCATCCCAACTCCTAGGACACCCCTGTGAGATTGGATTACCAAAGGTGAATTAGCCTCAGAGAAGTGCCCAAGTTGGCACAGTCAAGAGGAAGGGAGTTTTTATTCTGGCGAGGCTGGCTGCAGTCTCTACCCTACAGCCCTACACCCTGCTGCCTGGAGGGCAAAGAAGAGGTCCAGAGTGCAAGTTCAGGGGTCAGTCGCCTGGACTAAATCCCTGCTTTGCCATTTGCTAGCTTGTGTGGTCTTAGGGTAAGAGGCTGTGCTGGTGGTGTATGTGTGCTCAGTTTTCCCATTAAGTGTATATCGTAAGAAATTAACAGAAACTGTAAGGTTAGGAAGGAATCTTCAGCTCGAGTGATTGATGCTGGGTGGTAAAATGGCTAGTACATGCTGGGATTGGTGTTGGTGCTGTAATGAGCCTTCTGATTCTTTTCCTTTGACCCCATCCCTGCCACAGCTCACACCCTTCAGGTTCAATAACACTTGCTGACTGAGTAATTGAAATATCAGACTGGGAGGGGGATGAAAGAGCTCTCTAAACTCAGGAAGGAAAAGATGAGAATGCAGGTTTGTTTTCAAAACTCCACTCGCCACTGCCAAAGCTGCCTGGACCATGTGACTGGGATAAAAATGGGGTTGGAAAAAGATAATCATGCTTATAGGTCAGTCTGTAAATGTAGAAATGGACCCCAAAAATGTAGTCAATATGTGCACAGAAAAGTTAAAAGGTACCAATTTATATTAAAAAATTGTGTGTGTGCGTATATGTGTGCTTTCGTGATTTCATTTGTACCATATGCATGCAAGAGGTCAGAATTAGATTCCCTGGAATTGGAGTTCTAGGTGGTTTGTGAGCTGCTATGTGAGTGCTTGGAACTGAACCCAGGACCTCTGCAAGAGCAGTAAACGCTCTTGACTCCTGAACCATCTCTTCACCCCCCCAACACACATTTATATGAGTATATTTAGAAACGCCAATGTGGTAGCACACACCTGTTACTCCAGTACTCAGGAGGATCATTAGTTCCAGGACAGCCTGGGTTACACAGCAAATCCCAGGCCAACCTGGGCTACACAGCAAGTTCTAGAGCAGCCTGGGCTACATATAAATAAGCATACATACATACACACATATATAAACAATTCTCTGTCATATACATATACACACATTCCATACATATACATATATGAAGGAGAATTGTTTATAATAGAAACCAATCATAAAGGTCTATGGCCAGGGAGTTTCTCTTGGTACCTTAACCACTACCTCCCAAATTCATTTTAAGATTTTAAGAACTTTTATTCATGACAAAATATTGAATAAAAGCCCTGGGTACAAAGTTGCATAAATATGAGGCTGAAGTGCGGAGGGTACAAAGGCTCCAAAATGAAGGCTTCTTTGCTTCCAACTCCATAGGACTATGGGAATAAAGCATTGGCCGGAGAAACACCCGAGAGGCAGTGCCAGTAAGGGACACGATTCTGAATTATCCTTTTCTGTTTTCTCTAGTATGTAATTGTATTTACGTATTTGGTGTGTGTGGGAGATGTGTGCACGCGTGACCCGTGTGCACCTGCCGCCGTGTATGTGTGGAGGTCAGAGGGTAGCTTCAAATGTGTGTCCTGGAGATGTAACTCAGGCCATCAGGCTCATTACCTGCGGAATAATCTCAGCAACCCAATGTCTCCTTTTTTTGAGATAGGGTCTCTCTATGTAGACTTGGCTGTCCAGGAACTCAATGTGTAGACCAGGCTGGCCCCAAACTCACAGAGATCCCCTTGCCCCTATCTCCCAGGTGCTGAGATGAAAGGTGTGTGCCACCTCATCTAGCTTATTTTTCTTTTAATTAAATGTACATTTATAGTTATTAAGCTCCTTAAAAGTATATTTTGTTTCTTTTTTTTGAGGCAGGATGTTATTCTGTAGCCTAGGAAGGCCTTGAACTTTTAATCATTTGGCCTCAGCCTCTTAAGTACTTGGACCTATTTTTGTTGAAATTATAAGTATACATAGAAAAAATATTGGGTGCAAATATACTAAAATGTTAACAGTGATTATAATTGAGTAGTGGAATTATGAGTAATATTTTTCTTTTTCCTTTTCAAATTTTTTTTGCAGTAGGATTACATTGTTTTTTCACAATTAGAATAGATTCATAACTTGAAAAGTGCATAATCAGTAGTATTCTACTAGTGGTAAAATTATGAATGCAAATTGAAAAAAATGGGAAGGAAGTATATTGAACTATTAACAGTTTTTATATTAGCTGCTAAGGGATTGTGGGTAATTTCTTCTCATTTTTCTGTAATATGGTCTTATTATTTTTATAATTAAAATAAAATGATACCTAAAAATAGTGTATACAATATGATACAATTTTTGCTAAGAATTAATATATGCATAGAAAAATAATTGATTATTCTGAAATGTGTTTGTCTCTGTGTGGTGGGGTATGAGTGATTTTTTATTCTTTTCTTTATAAATAAATTGTTTCTTCATTTTCCAAATTTTCTACAGCTATCATCTATTATTTTTAATTATGAAAAATGTAAACATTCATAAAGCAGTTAATAGTGGAGTACTTATGGGAAAAGGGTGCCTATCTGGGATTTGCTTTAAAATAGTTCAGTGTGGGCCAGAGGAGACCTGATGGGGCTATAGATTAAATGAGAAAATTGTTGAGGATGGGTGTATGAGGCTTTTGTTTTCTTTTGGGAATGCTTGAAATTTTTATAATGAATATTTTCTTAAAAAGCCTCTTTCACAAAGACCATTTCTCTTCATTTTTGCCAACTGTATGTGATTCCCTCCATTTCCCGGACAGCTGTGACTCAGAGTCGTAGTTATTTGTCCCAAGCCTTCTCACTCCAAGTCCAGTGCTCTGTCCACATCCCAGGTGCTGTTGCTGCGCATCTTCTTTTTCTTTATTGTTTAAAAAGTTTTTAAAAAGGTTTATTTATTTGTATTTTATGAGTATGGATGTTTTGCCTGCATTTATGTATGTGTGCCTTGTCCATGGTGCCTGGTGGCCACAGAGCCAGAAGAGGGTCCTGGATTCCCTGGGATTGGAGTTTTGGATGGTTGTAAGCTGCCTTGAAGATGCTGGAAACTCAACCTGGGTCCTCTGGAAGAGCAGTATGTGCTCTTAACCCCTGGGCTATCTCTCCAGCCTTTCCTTTTTTGTTTGTTTCTGTTTTGGTTTTGCACTACTGGGGATCAAATCTAGGGCTTCATGCGTACTGTACCAGTGAACTGAATCCTCAGCTCTGTTTTCTCTCTCTCTTCTTTTAGTAATTAAAAATAACATTTTATCTGATTATAAATGTAATTGTTCACGGAACTGACTTTTGAGTGAACAGGAATGTACTAGAGGAAGACATACTAATCCACCCCCAAGCAGTGTTGTTAACCCTTGGCTGTTGGTTCTGTGGACTGTCTCCGTGCCTCTTCTTGCAGAGGTACTGCTAGCGGTAAACCTCTTAGGGAGAGTAGTTAGCCATCTCTGAGTGCATCTGCAGCTGTTTAAGGTTTACCCATCCCAGCTCTCTCCTTGTCCCCTTCAGAGGCTGTAGTCTGGGTCCCCTTTTAACTATCACCTCCACCCCAACAATCCAAACAAATGAAGCCCATTAGTGGAAGTTCAGGTGACCCTTCTTCCCTCACCAACCTGGGGACTCTGCCCAGAAGTCATCTTAGAACCTGGGCATCTGCAATCGCTCCAAGTGGGCCTGTGCCTCCATTTCCCCATCTGGAAGATTCTAGTGAGAATAGCAGGCCAGTAGGCCCCTGCCAGGGAGTGATGAGCTAACGTCTGTAGCACTTTCCAGCCCCTCTGAGCAAGGTGCTGGAGCTTCCCAGGCCTGGCCTGAGTCTGCTGCTGCCAGCCTGATCGAGTGCCTGGCCTGGCCTGGCCATTCAATGGAGGGAGCGGCTGCATTCCTCTGACCCCGGCCAGCCCAGCAGGCTTGGACAGGCCTGCCTTTGCT